CCATGACCACCAAAAAAAAAAAAAAAAAAGGCTTGGAGGTATAAGCAGCATGCAGCTTCAGGACTTGGGGGAAGTTTTAAGCAGAGCGGTATCCCCAGGATACAAGTCTTCAAGAACAAGCCTTCCTAACTGTAATCTCTACCAGCATGGCTCCATCAGGGCAGGAGATAGGGCAGTAGTGGATGAGATGGAGGGACTTGGAAAGAGTCTAGTGGGAGCCAGAAATACTAATATCAAATGTGGCACAGGGGTGGGAGGGTGGTTGTTACAGGATACCCCAGCATCTAGGCCAGTGCCTGGGCAAAAAAGGGCTGGAAGGCTGGGAACAGATTTTGCTAAACACCTTTAGGTATTTCTAGAGTGGGAAAGGGTAGGTTGATGCAGCATGTTATGTGGGAAACTATAAAATAAAAGGAGAATATCCTTGTGCTTCATGGATTAAATATGAGGTGAAAAGATAAATGCGTGTGAGCCATGCTTGAAGCACAAAATTATTCCAGGGACACAAACTGATTTGGGCAGTTTCCAAGTAGAATATTATTATGGTTAATTACATGGCTCAAAGTTTTTTCACAACTTATTCTTGGGCCCTGTCACAAGTTAGAAAGCTTGTGTTTTGGCACACCCCATTTGTTCAGGATTGGAAGAGGATCAGTAAGGATCTCCAATTTATCCTTGGAGAAAGGTTCTCATTGCTCCTGCAGATGGGAAGCAAATCATGAACTGACTAGAGGAGTGTAACTGAACAAAGGGACTGACCTTCTTGTCAGAGAGCCGTCCTGGGAAGCAGCCTTTTTACCCCATTCACACCTGTTCCCACTGAAGAGACAGGAGCTGGTACCAGTTCACAGAGAGGAAGAGGAAGGCTAGCCTTACATTTTAGCTTCATGTTTCTCACTTCTCAGAGATTGGTTGTCCAAGTTACTCTTCACTCTATGTAACAGAGCCCATGTGTAAAATGAGCTGTTTTAATGCTGTACTACAATGAGTTAGAGTTTCAGTTGTTTGTACCATTACTAATTACATCTTAAATCTTTCCTAGAAAAGACTGTGTCTTCACCATTGACCCATCAACTGCCCGGGACCTCGATGATGCCCTCTCCTGCAGGCCACTCACAAATGGTACGGATAGAACTTCCTCTGCCATACCTGGTAGCAGGCAGTCTGCATCCCTGAGTGCTCTGCCAGTGTGCACTGAGCTTCCTTAGCGGTGTGTACTGTTTCTGAGCTTAAAATAGGTCTCCGAGCTTAAACAACTGTGTGCTCTCAATTATGTTCTCGATGATTCCGGTGAGAGTAAGAATGAGAAATGCTCTCTATCCTGGGCTCATTTGACCCTTAAAGGTAGAAGGCTGAGAGACAGAAAATGTTGTTACCAAACAAATTTGTTTAATTTTAGTTCTTTTAACACCCCCTTTCACTTTTCCTGGCTATCAATTAGAGAAGATTAAAGATAAGATAAAGCATAAAGGGACAACTTCTGTAAAATTTTAAGAAATTCACATATTTGTACAATTCAGAATTTTGCCATCTTTTTACAGAAACAAGTAGTGGCTTAATTTCTCACATTCTGAACAGTCTCCACTGTGTGCAGAGGCTTGGGTAGGCCAGCTACCAAGAGTGCACTCTCCTGAGCACCAGGGTGAAAAGAGCCCAGGCAGAAAGCCTAGAAACTGTAGGCTGAGTATAGGACACAGATAGGCCCATGAGAGGCCTCTCTTCCATCTGGGTTACAGTTCTGCTCTGGTAGTAGTTTAGTGCTTTAAAAATCATAGCTTCACTTACTCTCCAGTTTTATAGTTCTTAATGGCCATAGTCTAATACCTAATTCTTCATCGCTACTAACCTTGGAACCCTTGACCTTGCAGAACACTGGGGAGCTGGCACCTCACTCACTTTGTATACTGAAGTATACTGTATAATCTGTATACTGTATCTAGCATACAAGTATATCAGCAGAGGCTTTGTGAAAGAAAGAGTAAAAGGTATGATAGAAAATGTAGATTGGGGGAATTTTTTCAGATAAAACAATGTTCTTTATTTGCTAGACCAGACAGCTACATAGATATTGTTCAGTGGAGTTCAATCAAAATGAGGAATATAATTTAGCAGGGAAAAATGAAGAGAAAGAAAAAGAAGTAGAAGCAGAGAAATGAGCCAAAGGAAATGTTGCAATTATTGGAGCATGAGTTCCTGGACTGGAGATGAGAGCAAGACCCAAGAGGGATGGGATAGACAGAGGTGAGAAAGGGATAAAAATTCAAACAGGTTTTAGAATAGAAGAGCCCAAGGTGGGACTAAGTTTCAACCTAGATGACTGGGAAGTGGACTGGGAGGTAGAAATTGAGCAGTCTGGAGGGCATGGGTTAGGGAGAATCTGGATATGGAGTTGTCTGGTGGTATATTAGTGAGTTGCTTCAAATCCTTTTAGAGAGGTAGGGACTAAATAAGCTAAAAAGATGCCATAGTATAACTGCAAGCAAGAGAAAGTAAGCAATACACTCAAACACAAACAGTGATTTTATTAGGGTGATGGGATCACAAATGATTTTTCTCTCCTCTTCTTCCCAGATTTTTATAATGTGGTAATAATAGCTTTATAATGAAAAAATTTTGTAATAAAAAATTATGAGGTGCCAGAAATCACAAGCTGCCCAGTAGCCTAGTGCACCAGGTGATCAGATCCTTTCCATCTGCCTGGTTTTTCTTGCATTCCAGGGGGACAGTTGACATCTGTTCATTTGGCAGGGCAGCAGCAGAAGGACATAGGAAAAGAGCCAGGGAAGACTCAGGAAAGGCTTGAGGTGGCTAGTCAAGCATTTTTATGGTGGCACTTCTACAGTTGGCCTTGGTGACAGCAGTTTCTGCCAATGCCGTTTATCCAGTGAGGTGAAAAGTGAAAAGTCACTTCCAGTTTGGATTGAGGGGAAGTTGGCTAAGTTCAAGTTCCGTTAGTTATTGTTCATGTCAGTTCTTGCTTAGAGGAAAAAATGTGTTATGTTTCAAAAGCAAATTATGTTTTCTTGGCATATTTGTATCCTCCATAGCCATGTTTATTAAAAATACTTCATAAACGTTATACTTCCCTTTGGGCTCATCAAAATCATCTGAATGACTATTCTGTGAAAACTAAACTGCACAAGCAAGTATAACATACATAGTTCTCCCTCTCCCTTTTTGTAGAGTTCAGACGTACTTCTAGGCCCTCACTAACATTACTCTTATTAGGTACAAAACATAGATCATTAGTTGTACAGACACACTGGTAGGTCATAATTAGCTTAGGAAGGCTTCTTAACCTAATGGAAACTCCACTTTTGAAGGGAGCCCACCACTCGTCTGACCTGTGTTTAACTCATTTTTCAGCCTACAAACACACCGGATGGCAAGGAACACCCCCACGAGCATTAAGTGTGGATTTTTTTCACTTTTGCTAAAGATAGTATTTAATACTGAGTGTTACAAGAATAACCTTGAATTTAAAGACAGTAAATCACACAGTCTGGCGTGTTATGATTGTAATAGATCACTTGCAGCACACCTCAAAGTTGACCTCATCATTCAAGTGTGGGAATGCCACAGTTGTCAGATCACCCTCTGGTTTTTGAATCACCTCTGCAGTATTCACTTATTGAATATCCAGATTGCATTTGAACTTTCTGCCTTAAAAGTCAACTCATTCTGCCTTAAGATTGTGTGGCTCTTAGCATGGACTCACTTCCGCCTTTATGAAATCTGAGGTAAATGCTCTTTGTCTTCAGCTTATAATGCTTGCCTCCCTATCTAATTCTGTGTCCTATGAAAACACACAGGAACAAGGTAAACCTCTATAGAACTCTCCTGTCCTCCTGGCAGAATGAATTGTCCCCCACCTTACTATATTAGCACATTTGGTCATATTTCTAATAATAAAACAGGTTTTCTGAATTAATTCCCCCTTTTACTTGTTTTCTAAGGGCAGAATGTTCCTTGGTATCTCTCATCCTGAGTATCATGCATGCTACACTGCATTTTAAAAATGTTTGCTCTAGTCAGATCTAACCAGGCAAACTGCGCATGAATGATTTCCTTTTGTATGTGTATATGTGTGTGTGTGTGTGTGTGTGCGTGCTCGTGTGCGCACACACACACACACACACACACACACACATACACATATATAACCTAGGACTTGAAGCAGGGCCTGGGCACTGTCTTTGAGCTTTTGTGCTTAAGACTAGCTACCACTTTGAGCCATAGCTCCACTTCCACCTTTTTGATAGTTAATTGGAGATAAGTGTCTCACAGACTTTCCTGCCTAGCCTGACTTCAAACCATGATCCTCAGATCTCAGCCTCCCCAGTAGCTAGGATTATAGTCATATGTCAATGAAACCTGGCTTTCATAGTGTCTTTTTATCCTTAAATTTGTGATTGTCTATGTGTTTATATCTTGACAAAGTAGCATACGCTTCTTTTTTGGAATTGGGTATACTTTCCCCATTCATACTTTTCCATTCTTTAAGAACTGAATTGTATCTTACATTTGTGCTGTCTGTTTCTCCAGCTCAGGGAACTGAACTCACTTCTTCCCAGAATTTTCTTATGTAAATCTCTTTCGTGGCCTACACTGGTGAGGGTCAGATCTAGGGCACATCTTCAGTGTTTGACTTCCCTAAACAGGCACCATGTCCTCCAAATACCTTAATATTACGAATTCATCAAGGGATGAATCCATGGATTAGGTCAGAGCCCACAGGATATAGTCAGTTCCCAAAAGCCCACCAGCTGGCAGCCAAGTCCTTAATACATGAGTCTTTGGGGGGAGGGGGAGAGAGAGAGGGGCTATCTTAGATTCAAGCAATAATAGTACTGTAAGCTGAGAAAAGAGGCTTGAAATCTCCACATGTAATTGTGGGTTTCATTTATTTTTCTTGCCTGTCCATTTTTACTTAATTTACTTTGAAGTTCTATTATTAAATGTATATGTATTTAAGAGTATCTTCTTGATAAACTACCACGTTGTCACTGTGAAATACCTCTTATATCTCCAGTATCTGTTTTGAAATTACTCTAGCACCTGTAGCTTTCTAGTTATTAGTGTTTGCCTTGAGAGACTTCCTCCAACCTTTTACTTTTTGTTGTTGTTGTTAGTACATCAGACTTTATTGAAGTCATGAAATTGTGACTGTGCTTTCATCTTTAAACTCTCTTTATATTTAAAGTGTGTTTCTTGCATTGTTATCCAGCTTATCTTTGCCTTTTGATTCACATTTTATACTATTTATACAATTTTAGTTATAGTTGAGTAAAAGTTTTTTATCTTGCTGTTTTCTATTTGTTTCATCTTGTTATTTGTACCTGTTGTTATTCTTTTGGATTATTTTTCTCCGTTATTCCAATTTTTTGTCTCTTGTTAGAATACTAGGTGTTTCTCCTTTTTTCTTTTCTGTTGTTCTAGACCAGAGTTTCTCAGTGTTGACACTATTAACATTTTGGGCAAAGTGCTTTTTTTGTTGTTGTGAGAAACTGCTTTATGATTTTTTTGCTTTGTATTTTGGTGATACTAGGGATTGAACTCAGAGCCTTGGTTGTCTGTGAGCAGTTTTTCATAAGCAGAAACTACCAAAGAGCTCCAAGTAGAAAGCATGAACTATATATAATAAACAAATTGCTGAACTATATAAAATAAATTACTGGAGGCTCAGTGTGGACATGTCTGAGTTAAAAACTCTAGAGGAACTCAGGAACACAATCATATTCTCATAGTAAATATTGGAGATAATTCCTTTCCTCAGAAAGAATGGAGTGAAATATTTAGTACTCAGAGAAAATTACCACCCTTAAATTCTGTACTCTGTAAAATTGCTAGTAGAGCTACCTTGCAAGAAAAGTTAAAAAAAAAAGTTTTTTTCTGGAGACAGATGAAGGAGGATCACAAGTCGAAGGCTAGCTTGGCTACCTTTTGAGGCCTTAGCTCAGGAAAAAAAGTTACTTAGAGAGAAAGAGAATTAGATAGGACAGAAACTCAGATCTAAAGAAAGGAACAATCAAAGATGTAATAAATGAATGTAAAATAAAACCTTTTCCTTTTATTTATTTTTTAATTCTTTTTACTTTTGGTGGTTCTTGGGTTTTGAACTC